CGTAAACAGGGTTGTTTTAAGAGCATAGAAAGGCTCATTCAGATCCCATTACTTGCCCCAGCCTGACGTTTTACCACCAGAGTTATTCCCTGGGGGGAAAGCACTGTCCCCAGAAGTTTCCAGATAAAATGCAAGCATGACAATCTTCAGAGAAAGCCTCATCCCACCTAAATGACTCTCCGACACATAGAGCTTTCTGCTTAGCACAAAAGCCATTTTATATAAGCTTTTGACAGACATGGAAACACGTGGGTGTGTGTGGCTTATTTGTGAGTGAACAGGAGGGATGCCCGAAAGGACACAGCCTGGGGAGGTGGGCAGACTCGAGCCTCCTACTTCACAGCGTCTCCAGTTAGCTCTTAAGGGTGGCAAAAGGTCTCGAAACACAATTCATTTCAATTAACTCTAAGAGAAAACACAGCACACAAGGGGTATCATAACGGAAGAGAAGACCAGATGTCACTATTTCTAAAAGACTGAGAATCGCTGCTTTGGATAATCCAAGTTGGTGTCCCTAAAACCAGATGTTGTGTCTGATAGAAAGCTCCAGGTCGTCAATACTGATCGATGTGCTTTTCACCTCTGCTTCCTCTGTTTGCCTACTCTGCGCTGAGAGGATCAGCCACGAGACCAAAAGGCAAAGGGAGTTCTGAGTATGGCAGCCGCTCGTACATAATCAAGCGCTAATCACATGCTAGCAAAGTGGCTGATAAAAAATGAACATTCATAAACAAGAAATTATATATATTTGGCTGACAGAATAATAGTCTGGCAAATGAGCTATAAAATCGTGCACTGCTGTCTATGGCGCATGCTTTGTGAAGACTGCAGGTGATTTGAAAATGAAATGATTGATCCATGGCAGAAAACGAACTGCAAAGAACTCAAACAACAACAACAACAAAAACCCAAAAACCTTCAGAAACGTTACCACGTGAACCTGGGCCGTGATTCGCTGGCACCGTGTCCACCGTGAAGCCTGGTTTAAGCCAAAACACGTGAGGGGTACAAGCTGGAGATGTGAGGGGGCTCGCCTTCCCGGGTCACACCAGGGCAGCCACCCAGAACCCGGTCGCGACCTGATCACAGCAGTGAACACACGGGCTTCCTGCTCTCGACTCTCAGCTCAACCCACACATGCGTTGCCCCACACCATCCAGGGTAGTCCCTGTGTGAGCCGGTGCGCTCTTTGGATTTCTGGAACGATCTACGGCCATCTCAAAGCAAGCATCGGAACAGTTCGGATTTGGCAGATGGGCAGAGAGGGGACTGGTGATTGGCAAAGGGGATGGTTTTGGGGCTTCTGAGCTATCACACTGAACGCTGAACCACGGATGGACTGGTGCGTGAAGGGTCCGATCCTTGGTCCATCTGCTCAGAGCCTAGATTAAGTAACAGCATCCAGCAAGTCATTGGATTATATTAAAGAACACGACGAGGGACGTTTGAGAGTTTCTCCCGAGCTTGCACTGACGTTCTCCTCACCCTCTCTTTGCCACAAGGAAACAAACCTTTCTCCCTTGCGCTGCCCCTCCCCCACTATCCTTCATGAAGATTTTAAACAAAGGAACCGGAGGAGGCACGGGCTCTGACGAGCCAAAGAGAGACTCCAAGGTCACTGTCCTTCAAACTAACCGGGACTCAGTGCCTCAGTGACGGATAACTCTCGCATAGGCCTCTCCCCAGACAGCGGGGGTGGGGGGTGGGGGGGGGAGAGTGAATCCCTGGAGCAATCCTCAGCCTTTTCCAAAGAGAAAGAGACTTCTAGATCTCTGGAGGATAAAAATTGCTTCTTCAAGTCCTTTCCAGTCCTCCCTTCTTACTCTCGGGCCTCCCTCTAAGTTAGTGGTTCTCAACTTATTGTGCGTTGGACCCATCTGGAAATCTCGTTGAGACGCAAACTGTGAGTCAGCAGGTTTGGGCTGGGGCCTGAGACTCTGCATTTGTCACCAGCTTCCAGGTGAGGCCAATTCTGCTGCTCCAGAGATCACCCTTGGTGCGGAGCGCCCAGCCTCCCGTGGACTCCACTCGGGAGGCCTGCGCCACGCGACATATAGCAACCTCGAGCAGGGCCTCCACCTTAAGCACGACATTCCTCCGCCACCATCTCAGGCCGAGGCCACCAGCCTCGGATTCCCTGCAAGTCGGGGGGGCGGGGGCGGGGGCTGGTCACTGCTGTCACGGCCGCATAGGTGGGAGAGGCATTTTCCTTCGGCAAAGATCTGCTCGGCCTCTCTCGAAACCTCTTCCCACCGCCCTTCCCCCCTCCCCGGAAAGAAACTGAGAACTCTGGGGGGAGTGGAGGGGGGGGGGGCAAACACACCAGAGCCATATGGAATTCTCTATTTTTTCCCTCACGCCATCTGGTTTGGGATCTAAGTACAGAATGGCAACTGCGTTGATTTAAGAGCCAACAAAATCTCCAAGCAACTGGGAAGGAGCTCACAGGGCTGGGTTTGGTCCCCTGGCTCCAGCCCCAAACGTCCCCAGCGTGTGTGCCCCAGAGGCGCATGTGTTCCCACGCCTGCAGTCAGTACACGCAGGAAGGGCAAACTATGTGCGCGTAAAGGCCACTGGCGGATGTTTGAAGAGGATTCTGGAAAGCAGGTTGCATGCTTTTGTTTTCTCCCCCCTCAGACAAGACCCTGCTTGCTCACGTGAAGTCTCACCAGCAGTGGGGTTACTACAGTTCTCCTCATACCGTTCCAGAATCCCCAAAACTCTGAAAACGTGGGGTTTGGGGGTTTTGTCTAGCTCATCTGGGAACAAAACCGGTACCGACTGGAGCTTACTTGGTGCCCAAACCTGACCCGAATGCACAAGACGCTGTTTCCGGGCTCCGTTTGCCAGGCCCGGGCGCTCCCCAGAAGGAGTGGGATCTGCAGGGGGCGCCCAGGCCTGCCTGGCGCTATCGGGAGGCACACGGGGTGTGCCCCACGTTACTTTCCCGAAACCCGAACTCTTCTGAATTCTGAAACGAATTTAGCCCCCAAAAGTTTCGGGGGAGGAAAAAAACGAAGCCTGTATTTTTCCTCTCAGCTGTCACTGCCGCTTAGATGGCCCGTATTCCCGTGTGTGGCTGTCGGGTCAGGAGCCCGGGAGCGACACTGGGACACTCTTACAGCAAGTGCTCAACAAGTAGCAACCAACAGGGGGTTTGCGCCCCGAGAAGATACTGATGTTTACTCTTTCCCACCAGGAAAGACACTCAGGTTTTTTCTCCACTTCCAACCGGCCTGGTGTCTTCCAACACATTCTTACAACAAACACCATTCTCTTTCAAGCAGTTTCTGGTAACTTCGAGGCCTTCCTGTCCCGGTATCAAATACCTCCCCCTCCCCCGAGAACTGTGCGCATCTAATGGTGCTGGGAGGGGGGGGCAGATTTTTAAAAACAGCATGAGATACAGTTTACCTATACAATTCCCCTGTGTTAAGCGTGCAGTTCGATGGCTCTGAGTTGTGTAACCATCACCACAGTGTAACTTTAAAACCTTCCCATCGCTCCAGAAAGGAGCCCTTGTACCCGTTAGCAGTCACCACCCACTCTCCCTTTCCTCCAGCCTCTGACAAACAGGAATCCATGTTCTGTCTCTGTGCATTTGCTAATTCTGGAAATGTAATATAAGTGGAATCAGACAATAGTTGGTCTCTTACGTCTGGCTTCTTTTACTCAGCATAATGTTTTTGAGATTCATCCATGTTGTAATATGTATCAACATCTCATTCCACTTTATTGCTGAATAGTATTCCACTGTCTGAATAGAGCATGTCTAACAGCAGTTTTTCAATCGAGATTCCAGAACCCTCTCCATTCCTTAAAGGATCTATGAGAACAAATGTCTACGTGACTTCTCGTTCACGTTTTCTAACTGGACTGCACGCACGTGCGAACACACACAGCTGGTGCCTGACAGCCATATGTCAAAAGAAGAAATGCGTACTTCAAGATGTAGAAATCCAAAATCGGATTTCATGTTAATTAACCTGAAGCCACAATGTGGGTCTTAAAAGTTTTATTAAATTAACGGTAAGTGCTGGACTTTGTAACTCAGTGCGTGTCCTACGTTGTACCTCACGGCTGCTCTTTCTTGAGTTGTAGATTCTACACGATCATTTCTGACCAATTCCTGAAAAAGTAGGCAATGCAACTATTTGGGAAGAGTAACACTAAGGAATCACGAAAAACCGTAGCAATACTTGAAGCCTGTTGTGTTTATCTGACCCGCCACCATCCCCTTCTCTCCACATTTTAAGTAACTTGAAGTCATCTGAGTTTTAGCTAACTGAACCGACAGGTCCTAAGGCAGGTGTAGACTTTGGGAATGGGGAGGGTGGGCGTTCTCCCCACTTCTGGGCCCCCCATATCTCACTCCAACCGAGCACCTAGCAGTTCTGGGAGACCAGTGTTCCTTGTGAGCAAGGAAACCGGAAACCAGACCCAACGGACCTACCTGATGGGATCGAGTACACAGTTATCCGATCCTCATGTCCTGGGCTTGGATTTTTCCTTCTCAAAGACAATGATGTTCAAACAGAGCGCTGCAAAGCAGTGGGGCCGGGAAGCCATTGGGGGACACTCCCGGTCCTCTTGGAGCCAAGGCTCCTTGAGCGCCCCAGCCCCGTTCTTAGTGCCGTGGAGGAGGACACACGTGACACCCACCACCACCCCCCGCCACTGGTTCCGACATTGGAAATCTCGGAGTTACCCCAAAGCTTTTATGTCATTGCACACTGCTCCCTTTGAGAAGAAGAGGTGAGGGCAAGGAAAGGGGAAAGAGGGAGAAGACAGAGGCCAAAGATGGGGTGGAATGGAGAGGAGGAGAGGAAAACAAAAGATGATTAAAAAAATCGTCAAGGGCCAATTCCACCCACGCCCCTGCGAACAAATTAATGCATCAAACAAAACATAAAATAGCACCACAGTGAAAGAGCCATTACAAATAATATTAAAGATAACAGTCGACTTGCTATTAGAATTCAGCCCGAGGCTGTATTTACCTGGACTGCTCAAGGGGCTAGCCCTGTCCCCCAGGGTTGGCACGGGATGGTACTGCTGGTTCTTTGAGCCTGGGTACATCCAGTGGTACCTGCCAATTTCCATTTCAGCTCTGCTGTTCACTGCCAATTTCAGGTGGCAAAGAGTCAGTGTCTCTATCTCCAGCAAAGATTCTATATCAGCATTTATTCTTTTACCATATAGTTAAAGGAAACGAGGAGTTTAAAAAACACGTGACTGAAACCACAACCTTTCCGCACCGGCTGATGACCGAGGCAGGATGAATGGAGAACGCTGCAGTCCCCTCCGTTCTTGACGTTGACGAAACTCACCCAAATCGCCTTTTCCTTCCTGACTGTCACCGTGATGTCCCCCCACCCCGCCCCTCAGAACGCTCACTTTGGGCCGACACTATTTACAGTGGAAGTCCGGCTTCTCCCAAGACTGCTGTTCTTTCTGGGCATTTCCCTTTCGGACCAACAGAGCGCCACATTCACTGTGGCCACACGAACAAGAGTGACTACAGGCTTACCCTCCGTGATGGTACCCAGCTGCGGCCTTGAAAATCTGGCCAGTGACCCCCATGGCCTGCTGAATCTCGGATAAAACTCCTGTCCTCCCACTGACATCTGCAGTATTCTCTGTCAGCTCTTCTTAAGCTCAGTACTTCGGAGTCTAGAATGTTCTGGATTAAATCCTGTTCCAATGACCTCCCGGTGTTTTAGAGAGAAAGGGCTGCCGGTCTTGGGCTCCAACCACTGCTTCCTCACACACATGGTGACGAGAGGCCTCCTGGGGACTCGGGTCCCTAGCTGACAGCAGGACTCTCTTTCCCACTTCTTAAGGGACCGGTGGGAAAGATCCTCATCTAGCAGTGTGCCTGACCCAGAGACGGCTGCTGGGAACGGAGCGCAGCCACAATCTTAAAATCCCTAAGAGCTCAAAAGGTCAACTACGGCCAGTTTGTGCCTGCGAATCACACAGAACCGCACAAGGGGTTAGGCCCTGTGGGGCGGCCACAAGTATTGCAGGAGAAAAGGTGGTTCTGACGTTGGTGTGGGCCGTGACTCCATCAGCAGATCAGGTCAGCATGCTCCACGGGGCGCCCGGGACCGCCGAGGGGGAGGCTTGAGCCAACAGCCACGCCGCGGGGCGACAGGGTGAACGCGTGACCAGGGCCGCGGAGAAGCTCACAGAGCCTCCACGGAACCCCGCCGGCAGCGCGCACGGTCCCCGAAAACTCCCGAGGTCCTCCCCCACTGGCGAGTGGAGACTTTTCTAGGTGGTGTTTCAGAGGAAGCCTTTACGGCGTCAAGGGGAAGCAAAACTGCCTCTTAAAAGACGTGTAAAAACGTTTAAAGATGCTTAGAAGGGGAGAAAAGGGGGCTAGGGCAAGATCGGACCTCGATAGTGCAAGGTCACGGTGTCGGCCACAGCCATCCTGTGCGCTCGGTGCTCTCAGCGTTCTAGCTTTCCAGATGGAGAGAGCAAGGGCAAGGAGAAGGGAGGCCGCCTGCCCACGACATCAGGCAGCCAGGGGAGGACGAGCCTGGGTACGAACCTGGGCCACGTGACTCCAGAGGGCAGGCCTCCGAAACCACCAGACCGGCCCAGTGCGGCCCGCGCACCCACTCCAAGTTTCTCGTCCTTTGCGGAGGCAGTGGTTCGCCCGACAAGAGCTTTGCTGAGGTCAGTGGGGAGGTGAGCTGTACCTCTGTGCCTCAAGAAAGGTCTCAGGTCCCAAGCTCTTGAGGTTACTTCGGGGTTCTGGAAAGGACTTAACTCTCAACTTTCCCTGGATTTAGATTTTTGCTTCACTGCTCAGGAGCTGCTCTCTCAGATGTGGGTTGTGCTACGTTGTCTGAGAGCCAAGACACCCAGTGGGGCTGGTGGAAAGAACCAGAAGCAGGGTTAAGTGGCGGTGAGCCCTCCACATCAACCTCCGGCAAGAGCACTGCAAGGAGCTCGAGCACTGTTGATCTGGAAATTTCTCATCGTCCTCTAAAAAAACATCTCTCTCTCCACGCCCAAAGCACAGCAGGTGCCCCATAAATGTCTGCTGGAAGAATATCTGGCTGAAGGCAAGGTAGCACCCTGGGACCCTGTGGACCAAGAAACGAACCTCCAGGTCCCCCACCACACTGACCTCACCCAAGCCAGGCCGTGCAATTCCCTGCATCTCTGCCCAGGATACATCCATTCTCTGTTCTCATCTCCTCATGCATGGGGAAGTCTACAGACAGGCAATCAGGCACAGGCTGCTAGGCAAGGACAATAAAAAACCATGGACTGGCCAAAGCTCCTGTATTTTCTGACCAAAACATGGCAGCCATGCCAGACATGCTTAGTTCAGCGTAAAAATACTCCTACTCCAGCAGATGTGGAGATGGGGTCAGCAAGTGGATGGCTATTTTCCAATACTTCCGGGAAGGCCTCTTTACAACAGTAAATCTTTAGACATGAAAGAAAAGAAAACCATGTCCATTGTCTATTTTGGAGCCAAATCTCGGAGACATGAAATATGAAACTAATGCCAAAATTTCAAAGAGCACAGCGGTATCATTTTTGTTTAAAAGGACAGGGTCCCAACATTTAGGAGGGAGCCACAGGATTGCAAGGAGAAGCCTCAGCGTGAATGGTCTAATTAAAACACTGCCACGATGCTGGGCAACTGGCAAAAAAAAAAATGGGAAAAATGGACACACACAGCCAGGAAAGTCCTGGCGGAGGCCCTACCGAGGCAAAAACTGCAAATGTTCCCCTTAGGGAGCGGAAGCCAGGGATGGGCAGCAGACCGCCCTATATTCTGGAAGCAGCACAAAAGTCACAACCGTGGGTGGTCCTCACCAAAGGTGGGTATGAAACAAACAACGGGGAATTGAGGAAAGGAAAACAAAGCAATGCCTTGTACCTTTTCGGTCCAGTTACTTAGACAGTGTGATGTCCTCCTGTGACAAGGCTATGGAGTAACTGAACTGCAGACCGGAGGCAACTAAGTGACAAAGACTGAGCTTCCTTCGAAAGACCATACTCCCTAGGCAAGGTCTCTGAAAGCTGGGTCTATCGTCCTTCATTTTGAGGTATTATTTCAAATATTAAGGGAAAGCTCTAACAACACCAGGCAGAGGTCAGCAAGCGACGGCCACCCATTCTTGTCAATAAAGTTGTATCGGCACTTGGCCACATTTATTGGTTTATATACTAGCCACGGCTGTTTCATGCTACAGCTGTAGATTTGAGTAGCTACAACAGAGACTGCGTGGCCTACAAAGCCTAAAATATTTACTCTCTGGCCCTTCATGGATGAAGCGGGCTGACCCTGGCTACCGAACGTGCCTAGTAAGGCTTGGATACAGAAAGAAGTCAACGCAATTAATCAAATCAGCCTCCAAAAGAGAAAGCTAGTTTATTTTCTCTTTTTACACGTGTCTGGAAGAGACAGGTCCCCGGGCTGGCTGAGGAGGAAAGTTCTCCCCTCTGCTACTGTCGTCCTGCTATTTAATCTGCCACCGAGATGGCAAAATTATGCCTAAAACCAAGATCCTGCTATATACATAATGGTCCCTAAGATGAGTTAAGCGCCCCTGTACTCCTCTCCCATGTGCTGGGAGGATAGAGGATGGACGATGTTTCAAAGGAGAGGATTATTAAATGAACGAATGAACAACCAGGTACACTCGTGCAGCTGAGACTGGAGCCTCCCTTTCTTACAAGCGAGTGTGTGTCGCCGTGCTCCTCCGTCCCACAGCCACCCCTATTCTGGGCCGGCCATTCTCACAGGGCTGTACATTTGGTCCCAAGGAGGAAAAAAGCAAGAAAGTGTCGCTGGAACAATCCAATTCATCACCAAGTCCCAGTGAGGGGAAATTTACTTCGTGGGGATGCTAACTGCCTATTTCACACGTTCTCAGATACAACAAGGCTCCCAAGTCATGTCATTAAGATGACTTACTCTAAATCGACTCGTAGTTTCAAGTCACAGAAAAATGCGATTTGTAACATGACAATCTGAACTCGAGGTTTCCACCCAATTTCACGGAAGGCAATTCTGAATTTCCAGAAATGGGTCGGAATTCTTTGTCTAATGAAACAGCCAGGCCAAGTCTTGAAAAATACACTAATGGAAACAATATAAAAGTAGGAGATGCACTAAATGGCTCATTGAGATCTCCACCCTTAACTTTCTAAAAAAATGAAATAAAACAAGGTAAAAGCAAGCTGTATTATACCTACCACATACGTCCAGCACCATCTGGTCCGCCATGCCTTTCCCTACAGCCTATTCCCCAGACACCCTCTCTTCAGAGGGTGGCAGACTCTTAGAGGGAAAAACTGCATCTAAAACTTTCTCTGTACCATATTCACATAATCAAGTTAGAAATTGTCAATAAAAATCTCAAAATCAAATCATTTCCACATCACCAGGAAGAGTGTAACATGTTAAATGTGTCCCTCAGGCTTTTTAGCTCACAGGCCATATATTCTACAAGAGTTTTCTTCCTAAAAAAAAAAAAAATCAGATGGGGCCCAAAGTACACGCACTTAAATTAAAACAAACAAAACCAAACCTAAACATGTAAGACATTATATTTGATCCAAAAATTTAAATGAATGTGTTAATTTTTTACACAGGTCAACAATCTGAATTCATTTCTTATGGTGCTTACGTCCTAGAATTTATTTCCAATTTACTACATTTTTCTTCCTATGTGGTTTGATGCCTGAACTCTCAAAATTATTTCAGCAGTAATTCTAGGCACTTAACTAGCTCGGCAATAATTGTTTCAGTAGATTCCAATTTCCTACATGTAATAAAAATAATTAGCATCACAGATTTTTTTCACACAATACAGCGATTGATTCAATTGTTTTTGCACCCCTTAACTGAGCACTCCCAGCACTTCCAGATGCACTGGTTTTCACAAATGAATTGACATCAAGTAATACTCCACAGAAATAAGTAGAAACCTAGCTCTCCATCTCTTGATTAGTGAGGCCCATGATCCTTTGACTCTGTCTTATTCATTCCTTCCACTTATTCCATTTCAGTGAATCTGTTTACTCAATCCTTACACTTCGATTCAATTTAATGCTTCTAATGTAAAAACCGTTATTTGTAATAACTTGGCATTTCTTACAGTCATCTGAGAAGACCAGCTTGCTTTCCTTAAACATTTCTGGGTATCTACTCAATACTTCTGGGGAATTTTGATCATCTAGTAGTGTTCTGGGGCAAAAGCCATGAGGCAGTTTCAAACACACACACATGCACATATACATATGTATTTTCTTTTAGGATCTGGATTATTTTTGTTTAAATTAGGAACAGAGTCCTCCTGATTTAAAGAAATAGCTCTCTTTGTCCTGCCGAAGGAAGTGAGGCCAACTAAAAAAGTTGAAGTCAATTTATAAAGCTAAGTTTAATTTCTATTCTTAATATTAATCCAAATAATTCCCCAAGGTAGTAATTATCCAAAGCTAGAATTCCCACTGGGCAATAATACCCCCAAATTAAGAGGTAGGTATGGCCCCAGCACCAAGTACTAAAAACCAATGGGAAAGGGGGAACAGAGGGGCAAAAAATAGACGTGTGTGAAAAACTGTGGGAAGTGACAAAATGTATAGGATTAAATTTCGGAAATTAAATCCCTTGCTGAAAGGCTTAAAAGAAAAACACACACACAAAAAACAGATCCACCAACTCGAGAATTATATCATGCCTTCTCCAATGATGTCAAAATTTCAAACGTACACTTCAAGGAAATCAACCCTTATCTTATAAATTTCAAATGAAATCGGAAGGAATACTGGAGTGACAAGCAGGCAGAAACATCTGTGACTGTCACTGCATGCCTGTGTGTGTGTGTGTGTGTGTGTGTGTGTGTGTGTGTGTGCGCGCGCGCGCACCCGTGTGTGTCTAGACTGACAATGACTTGGGTGCAGCCGGCCCGTGAACTTGTTCGGCTACACGAAGATTAGCAGATAAGTCATCCTCCAAATCAGCACTGGCGACGGGTCCCTTAGTGACCACAGCCCCCAGGGCGGTAGCGGACACACACGCCCGGGCCCGGATGCTGACTCACGCCTGAACCCTACACTTGACAACAGCTTGCATTCACCTGGCATGTTTGAATTACCTCAACAGCTAGTGTCTATCAATGTTGGCAATTTTTAAAGTTCCTCCAGGCATCGTCTCTTGCTTCTAATTTTGTCTCTGAAACCATGGCTAACTCACTAACGAGTTTTTGCCTACAGATGGTTAATAGATGTAGCACAGCTTGTGGATTCGGTGTTAAAGAGGATTTAGTTGATGTAAAATCATAGCAGTCCATAAGACTAAACGAGGATGAGATAGAGAGCTGGGCAGTATAAGGATTTTATACTGGCTTTATGCCCCTCACTTGCTTTTGGAGAGGGAAGAAAAAAAAAAAAAAGGTATGTTTTCTGCAGAGACCAAGATGGTTTTATTAATGGTTTATCAATGGTTACTTTGGTTTATTAATATGGTATTTGCCAGAATACCATTAACATGTTTGCTATTAATATGGTATTAAAGTGGGCACTAAATGAAATCATCTGTTTTGGGAAAACATTGCGGTGAACTGTGAGAGGCGTCCCCCCAACAACGCTATTACATGATTACGCCCCACAAACTTCATCTCTAATCATCGCAGAAATCAATCTTTACTTTTATCTCCATTCCTCAGCTTCATAAATACTCCCCAGAGCTTCTCTTATTGCTATTTGGTCACTCATATAAAATTAAAAATATAGGGGTGCCTGGGTGGCTCAGTCGTTAAGCGTCTGCCTTCGGCTCAGGTCATAATCCCAGGGTCCTGGGATCGAGCCCCGCATCGGGCTCCCTGCTCTGCGGGAAGCCTGCTTCTCCCTCTCCCACTCCCCCTGCTTGTGTTCCCTCTCTCGCTGTGTCTCTCTCTGTCAAATAAATAAATAAAATCTTTAAAAAAAAATAAAATTAAAATAAAATTAAAAATATATACATACAAGAAAAGGCAAGGTTTCTGTTTTGCTTTGCTGGGGTGGGGGGTGGCGAGGTAGGTTTCATGCGGGGATTGAATTAAACTGCCAATTTTAAAATTAAAATACTTAAGGCCACCGAAATACACACTTCAAAATGGTTAAAATGGCAAATTTGTTACGCAGATTTTATCAGACTTTGACATTTAATTAACTGGAAAAATGAAACTGCACTGCTTAGGATACAATCTTATTAAAGTACTGTGTACAGAAGAAATTCCGTATAAAAACAAGCAGCTTCTACCCAAGCGGGCTGTTAGGCTCAAATACATGAAATTGCCATGTTTGTAGGTGTAAGATGGTTGACTACTTCAGCAATTTCCGACAGTTCAACCAACATCTTCCTAAGTAAAAGGGAGTTGTAGACTATGTTCCTGCGCCTTTAGGATAGTCTGTAACTTTGGGCGAGGGAGACAGGTGAGCGGCGTCTCCCACTGTAATTTAACAGTGGCTGAGCGGATTCTACGGGCTATCGCACTCAAGACCGGTTTTTATCTAGGAAAAGACAGATGAATTTTAGCTTCTACTTTCGGTCATTTTCTTACTGCAAAACACATATTTCTCTAAAAAGGCCATTCCCTATGTCAACATTGTGGTAAGATTCCCCTTTAGGGACAGGACCTTTACCAATTCTCCTCCTCCAAATCTCCAAGTCATAAATGGCAGGGGACCCTCCACCCCTCTCCATCAGCACCAGGGTGACAGAGCTAACGTCCCCTCTCTGAAGCTCCCACTGTAAATGGTTATTACATGTCACAGTCAGGGCCTGATACATGGAAAGACTACTATCGTTTTCAATGAGAGAACTAACTAGAAAACGTCCAACATCACTACGGCATTAGCGGAACCAAAGCATATTTAGTTTGCGGCCCCCTCCAGATCCTCCCCAGCATTAGCAGAAAACAATGCATTCCATGCCCCTGGAGTATAACATGCAGAACGTGGGGACCTAAGTCATGACTCATTATATTAACGAGGAAAAAAAAAAAAAAAGACCGTTTCCCCAATTCCGCTACCCAAGGTGACAAACTGCGGACATCCTGGGAAATCCCACATTTGGTGGGAAGATTTGGAACAGGAATGGGCTGAAGAAAGGCTGCTCTATTAATTTAACATCAGCCTACAGGCAAAAACCACCCTGAAAGCAAGACCATGCCAGAGGGATTGTTTCAGAGCTATTTTACGAGACACACAAAACCGGGCTCCCCCTTTGAAAGCACCCCCCAGTGAAAAGCTTGAAACAGGCTATTGTCAGAGTGCCGGGTACCTTTTCTCTCTTGGCTTTGTTCAGTATTTTCCTCGGCTGCAGTTTCCATGGCTGGCTTCATACCATCCACCAAAAATGCTTTTCCCCGCTCCCCCAACACACACTTTTCCCCTCCTCTTCCTTTTCTTTTGGACTCCCCTCCGTCTCTTATTTACACCGCGTGATTGAGAGGTTCTGTTCTTCACTACAGTAGATTGCAGTCCCTTCCAAGATGCAAAAGGCTCGTCAGCGTCAGTTTCCCCTCTGCCTACTGGTCCAAAAAGACAGCTGCCAAGGAGCCGGCGGCCACACGTCAGCGAGGATCCCAGTTAGAACACGGCCATCCTGTGCCCCGTCCCACTGCGGCTCCCGGGGGACAGCCGCGCCCCCACCCGCCGGCCCCCGCGCCGCTCGCTCCTGGCCAACTGCACCCACTGAATGCTAATCAGCTCTCCCAGGGAAGAACAGACTTGTGACATCAGAGGACGGGATATGGAAGAGAAGGGGGAGAGAGAGACAGAGCCCCCTCCCACCACGTGACTCAGCTGGTCGGGATGTCAGTTCTCTCCGCTGAACGCTGGGCTTCCACCCCTGCAAACTCCTTCCTTCCCGGAGGGACCCCTTCATGGGGCATCACAGGCTGACTGAAGTTCATTTACCTGACCCTGGCAGAATATAGGCAGAGGACCAGCCCATGGCCTCTGTTTTATTCACTTTCTTTAGTATTTGACTTTCACGCAATCTCTAGTAGCTGGCTACATTTAAAATATATATAATATATATATATATTAGATATGTATCATAAGATATATATTAGAGGAGGAAAAAAATACCTAAGAGGGAAGAAAACGCAGAGCACGGATTTAACAATAGCTATATAAAATTTGGCATTAGAATTATAACCCATTCCCTGTCTACAACTAACACATGCGACAGAAAGAGAAACCCTTGAGCTCAAGCCCAATTCATAAAAAGGTATCCCTCCATATTTAAAAGTAAGCATAACATGCGACAAGTGTATCTAGCTGACATTTTGGTGACTTCTTGGAGTGAAAATGAAAATAGAATGGTTTTTCTTACTGGACATGATTATTTCTATATAGAGCTTTTATTCATTAGAACCTCTCCCTCAAAGTCAAAAGGGTGTTTTCAAGAGCAGTCTAAATGTTCAGCATAAAGGCTATTATTGTACCGATAATGACTGACTGCTGGTTTCACGAGCCTTCATGCATATCCAGATACTATGGGACCACAGTTCTCAACCCATCCAAGCATAGAAAAGCCTTTATCTTGGTCATGAGCTGTATGTTTCCAAGCATCACTGGTTTCTGTACCATGATTTAAGCATTTGGTTGACCCACTTACCTTCACTGTCTCTATTAAAGATATTTATAGAAACTCAAGTCAACTACAGGGATGAATACTGAAAACCACAGGGTGAAGGGTTCTCTGACAGGTAACAGCCTTCCAGTTGGTTGGGTTGAGCACCCACCTCAGAAGCAAACATTAAGACAAGTTAGAGACCACCCTCTCCTAAAAAATCTCTTCCAAAAAATCTCTGACGCTTTGTTGCTCAACACTTCCAAAAAAAAAAAAAAAAATGTGCAAGATCCTGAATCAAAATCCTCCAACAACCTGATCTTTTAATGCCTCAGTTGAGATAATCCCCCAAACCTTCTACATTCAATACCTCTGGCTCCTGGTAAGCCAGAAAAGATTTTGAAAACTCGTTTAGCCTGTTCCAACATTTATCTTCTGATTTTACTTCTCATTTTTCCCTTGAGCCATCCTCCTAGGAGTCCACACCCACAATCAACTATTCCTTTAACTGATGGCCCTGGCCAATTTTCCTGTCTCCTGGCGAGATCAGTGAGGAGCATGGCAGCTTAAAACTTCAGACAGTCAGAAAGAGATTCATTTGTGATCTAACTACGTCCATGGGAAAACCTGATGATGTGTCCAGAACAAAATTTTTAAAAAATTCAATCCAGCACCAAAAGGGACAATCATGACTAGCTATGCTATTGGTTTTGTTTTAAAAGTGTCTAGCAAAACCACTCAGTTATACACCTGGCAGAACAGAATGCTTTTTTGGCTTTTACTTAATATTATTGTTAGATGTTGTTAAAGTGGGAAGGCAGAATACAGAAGAGGTTCTACATTTAACATGGAAGACTTTTTCAATTTAAGGACAACTCTGGTTCTGTATCACAGTCTTAGAAATCAAAACCATTGGACAAAATATTCACAAATTCTCCGGGTGATACCTTGATCTACGTTCCCCTTGAAGAACTCTGTGCAAATGAACAAGTCACCATTTCTGCCTTGTTCATAACGTCACCATGTTCTTTTCATGAGGCTGATAACGTAGGACAATTCTTAAAGTTACCTTTACCAACAGCCTCAAAATCTCACTGATGTTTATGAAAAACCATCTGAGTTGGAAAAAGCATGATAGAAAAATTGTTAACAGCAAGAAAGAAGAGTATACATTTATTTATTTTTTTTTTTTAAATTTTTTTTTTTTTATTTGAGAGAGAATGAGATAGAGAGAGCATGAGAGGGGGGAGGGTCAGAGGGAGAAGCAGACTCCCTGCTGAGCAAGGAGCCCGATGCGGGACTCGATCCTGGGACTCCAAGATCATGACCTGAGCCGAAGGCAGTCGCTTAACCAACTGAGCCACCCAGGCGCCCGAAGAGTATACATTTATAACATTTCTGGGGTATGCCTCCATGTTTGACCAGAACAATCAGATACGTATAATGAGCAGGATGGGAGATGGCTCATAAAGGTGAAAAATATTCTTTGAGCCCCCGGAGTTAAGTCAGTCCGACTGAAGGGAAGAATACTTCTGAAAGCCAAAACAGGAATAGCAAACACACAAAATGGGCAATATTAGATCAAACCACACAAAATTGCTAACATTGACTAAGAAGAGTAGTTTCACAGGGTTCACCATTTGCACGTCTTCTGTAGAATTCCAGCCAGTTCCATAAGCATGCATGGAATCACCTTCCAAGTGCTAACATCTACAAGAAGCACAAGACTTCACAAGAGACGGTGCCCGTCTCCGAGTCACCCATAGACTGATGGGCCCCAGAGAACCCTCCTAAACCAGGGCGACCCTACCGGCTGCAAGCCCTCTAGTATCACAACAAAGAAGGTGAGAGGAGAGAAAGAGAATGTGGGGACAGCTCAGAGCTGAGCTGAGCTGGCTACTGCTGTATGGTTGGGAACCGCCAGGTAGGAGAGGGTAGGGAAGGGTGGAGAAGGACAAGAGTAGGAAAGGACAGGGCAGAGCAGGGTGGATAAGAGCAGGGAAGGGTAGAGAACAGAAAGGTAGAACAGGGAAGGGAGAGAGCATCCCTGGCAACATCAGAAAGCACACAGACAGGAAAACGGTACTGTCAGGGTGTTGGGGAGGCGATTTTTCCGACAGAGGGTCCAGAGCACAGGGTGTGTGTGTGTTGGGGGTGGGGAGTGGGGGAGGGAAAGGAAGGCAGGTGGCTGGGGCCGTAGGCTGGGAATCAGGTAGGGTGAACACCTTGCTGATCCCAGAGGCAGGGGAGCGGGGGAGGGAAGGCACTAGAACGGATCTGATCTGTGCTTTACAAAGGTCATCGTGTTGGTCATGAGGCTGGCAAACAAGCCACTCTGAGGGCTGAGCTCTGGCCCGGGCAGTGGGGGGGATCCCCAGTGACCTCCCACTGGACACGTGCACCTGGGGGTGGAAAAAGAGGAGGACACGGAAGGCAGTCTGGGGTTTCCAGCGTGGATGGGTGAGGACATGGTCACGGTCCCCCCCCCCCCCCCAACAGACGGTCCTCCACAAGTATATTTTAAATGAATGGTGAACCAATGACTGGGGAGAGACACAGACTAAAAACACACAGATTAGAATTTAAGGAACACGGTCTCTTAAATATAAAGGGAAAGGGAAACCGTGAAAGGGAGGGTCAAAGAGGGTAAGGAGGAAAAATGAGAGAAGCAGAGGAACGAGGCCGAAGTGGAAGGAGAGAAGTAGAAGAGGGTCCACGAAGGGTATAGAGTGTCAGATGTCATCCAATACTGTAGAAGGGGCAAAGAGGATGAGGACCAACAAGCAGAAAGTATCTTTACCACCAGTCACTGGAACTTCCAGAAGAGTCTGGGTCTAGTGATGGCAGGGGAGGAGCAAGGCACCTGGGGCTTCTCCACCATCCTTGCTCTCCGAATAGGATGCTCCAGGGGCCCGGGGGACACTGTCGTCTCATACCTGGGGCTCAGGCCTGTGCCTACCCGTCTTGGTCCGGCTTCCAACTAGTCGAGAGAATTTTCATTTTTCTCCTACGCTCTAGTCCATGACCATCTTCCCGGGTTTATTGTTACGAACAGTTCTGGCCGGCAGTTCCACCACGTGCGCACTCGGGTGTGGGGTCCCCACACCAGCAAGCAGCTCTCCCACACCAGCGGGACGTCCTACACTTCAACTCAATTCCGACACTCGCTACCCAGGGGCAGCATCGGGTCCCACATGTTAAGGGCTCGGTCCCGAGAGACTGCCCCACCCCCGCCATCCGCCCCCCGAAAATTCAGATGCCAATTCCAAGTCTGGTTGTCACCTGTGCTTCCCACTGACCAGCTATAGATCAGAGGCTCCAACGACCCGCTTCCTTCTTGGATTCATTTAATTTGCTAGAGCAGCTTCTGGAACTTAGAGGGACATTTTACCTACTAGATTATGGGTTTATTATAAACAATACAAAAGGACACGAATCAAAAGCTAAATGAAGAGATGCACAGGACAAGGTATGGGGAAAGGCGGGAAGCTTCCAAGCCCTCTCCCAGCACGGGACTGTCCCCAAATCTCCATGTGTTCACTGAACCCTGTCCTTTTGGGGTTTTATGGAAGCTTCATGACAGAGGCACAATTGATTAAATCACTGGCCAGAGGTGGGGGGGGGGCAGTGGGATGGGGACTGAAAGTTCAAGTTGGCTTTATGGTAGCAAACCCCCAACCTTAGCTTGGAGAAGTCAGTCACCTCATTAACACAAAAAAAGACACCTGTGTGGCTCTCCATTACAGGAAATTCCAAGGGCTTCAGGAGCTCTGTGCCAGAAGTGAAGACCAAATATATATTTCTTATAATAAATCACAATTTCACAGGCTTCTATAAATTTGCCTTATGTTTCTCATATGCCTGTGATCCAAATAATTGATGGAAGTGTTGAACATAACAAGACCATGGTGAGAGATTCTTGTGTAGGCCACTATGGACATCATCCTCGTCAGCTGACTGGTTTGTTTGTTCATTCATTCGTTCATTCATTCATCCATTCAACCAAGGTTCATTAAGCACCTACCACATGCCAGAAATTGAGTCACTACTCTATGTTACATGGCTGTGATTGTTCAGTCAACTGGGAATTCATCAAGAATGGGATGAACACATGAGCATGCACAATAATC